AAATTAATCCTAGATAATAGCTAACAGTATAACCGAAAGTGCTCGGACATACAGAACATTCGGACAGAAAAGATTAAAGAAAAACTGAAGAAGAAACTTAACCCTAAACGCAATAAGAAACTTAAAATAAGAAACTATTTTTAATGAAACTTGTATAAAAAAGCGATTGCAACCCAAATATACAATATATATATATATATATATATATATATATATATATATATATATATATATATCGAAGTGTGTGCATGTTTATTATTATTATAATTTTATTATCATTATTATAATTATTATTATTTCCAGTTTTCTAGATTTGCTTCTAGATACAACCCATAACCGAATATTTTATCTGAGACCTGACGAAAATGAAGGTTTTTATTCTATGTTATTGAGGATATTACATTGAGAAATTTTTTATATGTATGTGTGCGGTCCGCATGAGTATACATTTTGTACCAGAGATAATGAAACGTTTCCTAGGATCCTCTTAATGTGCATATCAATCCTCATTCCTAGTCTCCCTATTATTACTGACATAACGGCTGTTTAAATTCCGATTTCTTGTAACTTCTATTTCCAGATCCTTGTATTTTGTAAGTTTAGAAAATACTTTAGCTTACATTACAGATAGCGCTTATATTTTTGGATTTCTTTCAAAAGAATATCTGGTATATCGGCTTATATATTGCGTTCAGTATGTATTGCGAAGTCCTAAACTATTCTAACATTTTCAAATTTTAGATCTTGTTCTGGTTATGTCCCTACCATTTTTCTGTACCAGAATGGTAATAGTTTTAGTCAACCTTCCAATGTAGGAATTTCCCGAATTTATCATATTTATATTTAAATTTATTATGGTCTAGCGTAGAACACGCAGTTATTCGACAATTATTATTTTCTTTTACATTTGTATAAAATCGACATTTTGATACTATACGATGTGCAGGTCGATTTTGCAACCGTGGTATTGCACTAAATTCGGATGTTGTGGATTTACAAGATAAATAAGGGCATAACATATTTTTCCATCTCGGTTTTTTGGGAAAAACTAGTTTAAACTTAAGTTTAGGTTCAAAATGATAGCGTTGGAATTTCATTGTGGTGATCAGTGAAAGCGTTATAGCACAGTCGTATAAAATGTATAATTTACTAAAGCTTTATAAATTGTATATTGACAAAATGCATGGAACAAACACATTATTACTAAATCTTTGTGCCATCAAATAAGACTTTCATTTACTTCAAAGGGAAATTGTACTGAACAGTTTAGGTACATGATATAATATGTTCTACTGTGCAGTAGCTTTAGTATTTTATAATTTATGCTCATCAGTATTATGATGTTATGTACACGTTTATGTATTTTTTTTATTATTAATTATGACCTAAAAATTAATCTAACAAATAAGCTAACAAATCTTATTCATTAGAATTTTTTGTAATCTTTTACAATTTTTTACAGTTTTTTTCTTATCGAATACAGTAAAAAATGCATATTTTGCTTGTAGTGATTCATAATTAGAATTCTGGTTTGAATTTGTTTTCCATTCAGTGTATCTATTACAAAAGACATTAACGTTATTTGGATTTATTTTTGAAATAGTAAAATTTTGAAGTCAGTCTTGTACGCAAAAAGTTATTTCTGTACATTTTTTTCATGTGATATTTAAAAGTAAATTTTCAATAATTAGTTAGAGCTATGAATTTAATTTTTGGAGTCAATTCTTATGATATCAAACACAGGCTTACACACTGGGCAATGTTGATTGTGTGAAAATGTGCTGGTAGGATTTGTTGGGATATTCTGATCTTCAGCGAGTAGTTTCTGCTTTCAACACAGATTCTGCAACCGTTGATAGGTTCGATTTTTGTCAATATTAAGGTCTTGTGGTCGCAATGGATATCAGTTAAGTGCTTTATGTTCCCATTTGGTTTTGAAGTTATTCAGGTCTGTATATTTTCTTTTTAGTTTCATGTTTTTGACGCCTGCTTTTAGTATTTTGTCTCCTGCTTCAAGTTAGTTTTTACCATTATTTTGTATTTTGCAAGAAAAGCAACACCGCAGCAGTGACGCTGGCATGCAGATATACGAAGCCCGAAATAACCATCATGATACCCAGTCTGATAAAAGTATACCAAGTACATGCACCACAGCCAAATATGTGCGACAGGTTTTGATACAATCAGTACATAACGTTACAAAGGGGTTCCAGATAGAAATAAATTCAGTTCGCTTTTTCTTCTCCGCACAGATTTAGAAAATTAAGACCTCATATGTCTTGACACACAGCCGTGATACTCCCTCATTAATCTGACTTATTAACAGAGACGCAATGTGCTTAAGTCCCTAGGGTGCATACTCAAATGATTAAGATTAGGCAACTAACAAGCAAATATGTGCTAATGAACGGGATATTTACTGTAAACCATGTTAATTCACCAAAGACAAATCATATTCATATTAACATATCCAGTCAGTAAATTATATTATAGACATACCTAATGTTATATGAAGGAATTATTATTATTATTATTATTATTATTATTATTATTATTTCTTTTAATTTTTGCTTTATACACATTCCCTTCCGTGTCCTAACCAGAGACCTAAGGTCAGAAATGGTTTCATAAAATTTTACAATGAACATTTTGTACGTCCCCGCCAGCTAAAAAAACAAAGATCACACACATTTTACAACGATAACGCTCTTCGTAATATGTGACCTGAACTTGTGAGTACAATTTCTTTTTTGTATTTATTTAAGGTATAGGCTACAAGGTATCCATTCAATCAGTCTACAGGAAGCTTTTCCAATCAATCCGATGGCTCCAGCTCCAACTGGAATTGTTGATGACATCATGTGCCAAATCTTTTAGATTTCCACTTTAAGATCTTGTATTTTGATAGTTTTTGGAAGATTTTCAAAGATAAATTACAATCCGCAGGAACTGTCATGCCAATAAGAAATCACATTCTGTTTTTGTGGTCTTTGATTACGATGCTTGGACGATTAGCTTTGATTGTTCTGTCAGTGTGCATTGTAAAATCCTTTAAAATTGTTACACCTCCTATCACACTAACCGAGGTCTGGGTTATGTTCCTTACATTTTTCCCGTTTCGTCTCCGTAAACGTTGCATATTTTCCAGTGCAGATATTGGCACACTATTATGCTGTCTTTTATATTCAGTTGGAGCTAACACTGGACAACCTGATAAAAGATGGTCAATTATTTCTGGATTTTTATCACAGAATCTGCATTTCGAGTTAACACATTATTATTATTATTATTATTATTATTGTTGTTGTTGTTGTTACGAAGACACCCGCACACACACATGCACTCATGTAAGTTTGATAATTTTTTATGAATATAATATATAATCTTGCAAGTGGTGCCCTGTCAGAAATACTTTCATGGCGAGTCATACATTTAACTCAGTCAGTCTCCTATTAGCTCTTTTCCCAGGTATCTACATTATTTAAAATTTAAATTAAAAACAAGACTTTCGACATTTACCCAAGATACACCGCATTAATTGAGGCTTAGGAACATAGGTGTATATTGCGACAGTCTCGATCTATGTTCATCATGGCCGAGTGTTTGAGCGTACTGGATGTTTTCAAAATTGCAGATTGTTTGCTTTCTGCAAGAAACTGTAACTAATGTCTACTCAAATGTTTGCATTTTGGGTGTTAAAATGAAAGTGTTTGTAGAAGTGTCTACAACATGAATTACCTCAGCATAATAATAATAATAATAATAATAATAATAATAATAATAATAATAATAATAATTATTATTATTATTATTATTATTATTTCGTTGAGAATTGTAAGCCATTGTAATTTTTGCCGAATGTTTATTTTATCGTAATGTCTGTGCTATAGGTGTCATTATAGATTGGGCAAGAGTTTGCAGAACTCAGAAAGTAATTTGGCGTTTTGCTGAAGCCATTATATTTTTTACTATAATTTTGTCAATGTTAATTACTTTGTTAATTTGTTAAAGTTATTTTGATGAATTTTTCCGTATTTTACAGCCGATGTTTTGTTGTTGGATGATATTATGTAACCCATTGCAATTAGTTATTTAATTACTACAATTTTGTGTCTTTTTAAATTTGGTTATCCTTGCCAACTTGAAGAATATTTTTTTTGTATTTTTATCTGGATTCGTATGCAAATAAATACATACAGAGGTTATATATACACTTCTTTATATGTGGAGATACTCGCCCATTTAAAAATACGTATGTATACATACTTACCTTATGCAAGCGTATGTATTAAAAGTTTGTTTTATAAACAAAAAAAGATAATAGATTACGTGTATACACTTATTTTTTAGGCTATGCTCACAAATACGATCTCTTTCTCCCACACAGCCTGTATATATGCGCTTATATGTGTGCTTGTGTGTGTGAGTTTAAACATGTATTTGCGTATACATATGCATATGTTCATTTAAAAATTAGTTCTGTGATTCATTTTACTTGTCCTTTCTCTCAAATATTCCTCCCTCCCTATTTCATGTTTTCTTCGTCCCTTCTTTCTAAGAACCTTTATTTCTTTGCCTCTTCCCTGCATTCTCTATTTTTTAACAGACTCGGTTTCATATCTTAGTTCCTGGCAAACGTTCAAATATATCTCCGTAATATTCCAAGGTAAAACACACAGACGTACGCACGCACGCATGCGCGCATGCACGATGATACATATGTTTGTATGCAATGGTGTGGATTTGTTTGTTTTTCTTTTCTTACTGTTCTTAACCCTTTTGCTTTATTGGAAAACAGTCTTCAGACTGATGACGTCATGTGACGGACAATGATGTAATCTTTTAACAAGTCTGCATAAAAGCATAACAGTTAGAAGGAGAAGAAGAAATAGCTTGACGGAGAGAGAGAAGAAATGGCGAGAAAGTGAGAAAAGACAGAAGAGGTTGAGAAGGGGAAATGAAAAAAATGGAAAAACCGAAAAAGAGAAGGAAACGAATTACTAGAAAGAGAAAGAGAGAGAGAGGGAGGGTTGGGGAGAGAGAGAGAGAGAGAGTGAGAGAAAATGAGAGATAAAAGAACACACTAAAAATGAGAATAGGGAAAAAGACTGAAAAGGAAAAAGAAACTAATTACTGGAAAGAGAGAGAGAGAGAGAGAGAGAGAGAAAGAGAAAGAGAGAGAAAGTGAGATGGGGACAGAGGGTAAAGTGAGAAAAGGTTAAAAAGGAAAAGGAGAGGAATTGTTGGAAAGAGAGAAAGTATGAAAAATCTGAAAAGGAAAGATGATGAATTGCTTGAGACAGAGAGAGAGAGAGAGAGAGAGAGAGAGAGAGAGAGAGAGAGAGAGAGAGAGAAGAGAGAGAAATTAAAAAAAGACTCAAAAGGGAAAGATTATGATTTGACTGAGAGAGAAAAAGGTCCGAAGAAGAAGGAGGAGGAGGGATAGGAATAGGAGGAATAGGAGGAGGAGGAATTCTCCTGGTCTAATCGAATCTAGTAAAACAGATTTGGTCTACTGAGAACACCTAGCTGATATAGAACAGTAAAATATAAAACAATTTTTAAAAAAGCCATAGGCGGAAAAATAGAAGCTGAAAGATTACTGCGACTGTGATATTGGTAGCTTTTAAAAAAGAAAACATATTTAAAAACAATTTTCACTAATCGGTGATAAATCAGAAATTAGAATCACATTTGATAAACAGTCAGTGCGTACATGAATTAACCAATGAATGATGAATCAAAGTTTTAAAACGTTAAATGTTATTGCTTGACCCTTTGTCAAAAAGGAACTACTCGAGAACATCAGATGAGCTATTATTAACTACACAAGACCTCTAATGGGTATAAAGTCATCTCCAACGATCTCGGTATACCTATTTCAACAGTAAGAAATGTTATTAAAATGTTTGCTAAGTATAGAATTGTCAAAAATCATCATGGACGTTGGAATAAGGGAAACGTTTCAAATTATGCACGAAGGCAAAGGAAAAGCCCAGTACTGAAGAAAAGACATAAAATGAATGATCAATACTTTCCAAAAAGTAAATTAACAATTCACACCCGTATTGGAACAGTGTTCAGTTACAGACGAAAGAAAAATTGAGCTTATTTGGTAATGCACACCAACATTATGTTTACAAACGGCAAAAAGAAACTTAAAAAGAAAAATAACACTCTATCAACAGTTAAGCGTGTCTATAATATTGCGAAGATTTCGTTACTGAATCTCGTATTCAAGGCAGGAACATATCATATAAATAATCAAATCTGATGATTACCAAGAGATTTTTTTTACCAAAATGTACAACCCAGTGTAAGAAAACTTAGTTCAGTCAAAGATCATTGGTTCACCAGCAAGATAACAACCAAAGGCACACATCGAAAAGCACAGAGGAATTTTTATAAAGGAAGAAATTACATGTTTAATACTGGCCAGTAACAACACTTGATCCGAATCCCACTGAAAATATATGGGGTTACCTGAAATCTGTCAAACCTTCAAGAGATTAAACAAATTTCAATGGAAGAATGTTAGAATTTTATTTCTTTTAATTATTTAATTCCAAGCAAGGCAATAAAGCGACTAAGAAGCAATGGGGTTAGTGTGTTTGAGATAATATGACAAAAAGAAAGCATTATTAAGGGAATAATAAAATGACAGGAATTAAAAAGATAGAAGTTAAAGATAGAAATTGCATTTAAAACCAATAGGTTTGTCTCGCACAGGATAATCTGACGAAATCCATCACACCTCAAGCTAATTTTGAATGCAGAGTTTGCATTTTAGATTGGAAATCAAATATAGAGCACCCAGTCTTCCCTGAATGAAAGGAAGAGTGGATTCATGCATTACTCAAGAGGATGTGTGCGAAAATGAACACCAGAGACTACCCCAGAATCTGAACTCGACTGGCCGATTTCACGCCGATATCCCTACACTACCTTTTCAAATTTCATATGAGATAGTAATTATAAAATATCCACTTGGTAATATTACAATTCAGCCAGTATTTAATTTCTCTAGCCAAAATAACACCAAAACATTTTAATGAAAAATTAGTTGGAGTTATTAGGTGAAGATTTGTCAATTATTACATCTTTTCACTTATATTTCTCCTCATATTTTATCCATTAATTTTTATTGCAACTCAAAGGATCATTCTACGATCGACTAAGTAGCGCCAATTCAATATAAAGAATAAATTTCCAGTGAGATTATTTTTCCATCTACTTACTAAAAATATCTACACTACTATATGGTGACCGGATAGCCATCCTCTGGAACTTTGCAATAAGAGTCGTATAGACAAACGTAAACTACACTGCGTGCCAAATTATTATTTAGATAACTTTTTTTCTAATATTTCAAGAACCGTCCAATCAATTCACACAAAATTTTCACACAATGTTGGCAACACGGACCTGCGGAATCAGTGAAATTTTTGTACTGATCTGCGCAATGTAAACAAACTGGCGCCATATGAGTTATCAGCACGGTGATTTGAGCGTGCCAAATTATTAGAAAAGTATAAGAATTTAGTGAAAAGATGGGCCGTAAAAGCAGTTTAAGTGATGCTGAAAAGAAAACTATCACCTCGGAACTCTCAAAAGATAAATCTACCCTAGAAATTTCTAAAATGATAGGGAGGTGTCATCAAACAGTGAAAAAGTTCACCGCCGACCCTACACAAGTGCGCAAAAGGGCAGATAAAGGCAAGCCGAGGGTTATTTCACGTCGTCTCATGTCACGACTTAAACGAGAGGCCACGAAGAACCCTGGACTTACCAGTCAAGAGCTTGAAATTGATTGAAATGGGCCGAGGACAATATGAAGTTTGACTTCTCTAAAGTTTTGTTCACAGACGAAACTCGAGCAACATGTGATGGGCCAGATAGATGGTGCAAAGGATGGGTAATGAACGGACAGAATCGCCATCAGCGTTTGAGACGCCAATAAGGCAGTGGAGGCATAATGATCTGGGGTGGTATCATTGGAAAAACATTAGTGGGCCCATGGAGAGTACCAGATGGCGTCAAAATGAATGCTGATGCATACATAGCGTTTATGAAGGAGCATCTTGAACCGTGGATGAAAAGGCAAAGAATTGCCTTCAGAAGGGCCATTGTTTTTATGCAAGATAATGCTCCCTCACATGCTGCTCACAAGACTACTGAATATTTGAAACAGTTAGGCTTCGATGGACCTCGAAAAATGAAGTTGCCAGCAAATTCTCCGGATTTGAACCCAATCGAAAACCTTTGTAGCATCATGAAGCGAAGATTGTACGCCAACGGACGACAATTCAGGAGCAACGCTGAGTTGTGGGAAGCAATTCTTGACATATCTCGCGGAATTACAGCAGATGACATCCTACAATTAACAAATTCTATGGATCGTCGACTTCTTCAAGTAATTTCAAAACAGGGAAAGCACATTCCCTCTTAATTTGTTTAAAACTGTGCCTTTGTTTGTATCTGTTATTATTTGTTTGATTATCTTATTTATTAGCTTCTTTTGATCATAAACATTCACGTGCAACATTAATAAACGTTTTGTTTGCTCAATTCTGGGAATTTTACTAAACCTTTCTAATAATTTGGCACGCTCAAATCACCGTGCTGATAACAAATATGGCGTCAGTTTGTTTACCTTGCGCAGATCAGTACGATAATTTCAGTGATTGCACAGCTCAGTGTTGTCAACACTGTGTGAACATTTTGTGTGAATTGATTGGACGGTTTTTGAAATATTAGAAAAAAGTTATCTAGATAGTAATTTGGCAAGCAGTGTAGTTTACGTTTGTCTATACGACTCTTATTGCAAAGTTCCAGAGGATGGCTATCCGGTCACTATATCTTTTTGGAACTTCATCATCGGTATATTTATTTATATATATCTAAGACTATAATAAACAGTACAGTAGTACTTGCACCGGTAGTTACAAAAACATAGTATCTTTTATTATTAGTTTGTTCGGAAAATAATCTCAGATTTGGGAATCAAATTTTAACCCTGAATTCATGTATCTAAACAGTATTTAGATCAGTCAAAATAGGAAACCTGAACATATATTTATTTCTGTCATCGACTTACGAATTTATATTTGCCTTTACGATAAAAATGTAAAAGTTTGGACGCCAATATATATTTGAATTCAGTTTCTGCATCCCTTTTGGCTTAAAATATTGTCAAGATGCTTGAAAAAGTGATAGTCTGTGGGTGAAATATCAGGGACACATGTCAAAATCTCATATTCCAAATCGGTGAGATTCTGCAGTGTCATCCTGGAAACATCTTACTAAGCATTGTTGTTATGTCTGTTGTTCATATAATCTTTTATTTAAATTCCTTGAGTTGTTCGGTAGAAACATATATATTTCTTCCTTTGCTTTGCCAGGAAGGATCGCGTTCTTATTTTGAAATATTTTATGATCCTTTTGTGTTGAATATGAAATAATTAGGTTATTGGAGGTGCTTAAAAGTATTTTCAGTTTATTTCTCTTCTTCATGCAAATATTGATATGTTACAAATTATGAGTGCTCTTTAAATAGAATCCGATGATTATTCCAAATTTTACTTTGTTGTTATGATGAGAATAGAAAATTATGATTTCATCCGTATTAGTTGATTTGCAGTGGACGATAAGATTTATGCTACGATTAACGTGGTTTAGCATGATTTCTAGGAAAGGTAAAGTATTATTTGTTTGCATTTCATATCTAAATTCTAACGTATATTCAACTTTGTTTAGTTTCTCTACAAGGTCGTGCAAATCAGTTCCACAGGTATATATTAACAGAGTGTTAACACTATATCGGAAGTATGTTGATTGTTTAGGCAAAATATTTTGAAAGAAAGAAGATGCAAGAAATTAAAAAAAAAAGCAAGTACGTCACTGAGAGGCGACCCCATTAATAATCCAATTTTTTGTTTAGAAAAATTATGAAATATGAAATAGAGTTGATTGGTGATGGGACGGCGGGATTTTATTATTTTAGCTCTTAACAGGAAGAGATTTATCTTTTATTGTGTTAGTTGCTTTTTTAAAAAGATTTACGCATTTATTAACAAGGACGTTGGAGTAGAGAGATTTTATATCTACACAGGCTATCAGTTTGTCTGATATATTTATACCCAATAGTTTTTCATCCAGATTGACGGAACTTTTAATATGTGATGTCGTTAGCGCTGTCAATACCTGAAATAATGGGGCAAATTGGGATGTCTGATTAGTGTATTTTAGGGAGACCGTAAATTTTGGGTAGTCTAAGGTGACATTCTATTAGTCTATACCATGATTGGTTTTAATTTTCAATCACTTTATTAAATTTGAGTGTTTCATTAACTCTTTTGTGTTCATTTATTTTATCATATGTGTCGTCATTTTTAAGGAATAAATTCTTTTTTCATTGTATGTGTTCCTATTTATAATAACAACTCCCCCCACCTCCATTGGCCGAGGAGGTAATGTGGATTTCCTTATTTTTTTCTTAGGTTTTTTACTGCATTTACAATGTCTCTGCGGTAAAGTTCTTTCATTGTTATTTCCTAGAGTGGCAGTAATTATTTCTTGAAAGAAGATCTTAATGAATTCTCTGTCATTTTGCCTATGGTTTTTAACTAATATATCATCTAGG